AGTTGGAGAATCCGTCATTTGTTGATAATAGCAGTGTTTCATAATGTACTTTTTGTTAGTCTTGCAAGTAGCATTATTTTCACTTATTTCCGCTAGATTGATTATCACATGTAGGCTATAAGTTACTAACAAAAGTGATTGTAGCACTTTCAGCACATTCTGTTTTCTTAGTATAGTTTTACAAACTGAGAATTCGAGGAGCTCATCGGCCTCGGATGTTTACCTCTCCAAGGTTCTATTATTTCTAATCAAAGTAGCGCCATTTAACTGATATGCCACAAGGTACAGGTAATTTACCACCCAACACCCTTGGTATGAATGAAAACGCAGACAGCGACAAGCGAAACACCTATCACCTAGTACTCGTTTTGAATTCTACAAGCCGCTATACATCCATAAGCATGGTACTAATATCAAATATAATGAAAGAATCACTTGTAGTGTTTCACATTACAATAATGATCGGTTGCGCCAATGGGAAGTGAAGAACGTCTGGTCTGTCTGAGCCCAATGATGGCAACCAATTTAAGAAATAGCTAAAGGCTTAGCTCAAACGTTCGAGGTCATGGTTTTTAGGCACTTGGAATACCTTGCTGGAGGCAGCTCTTCTTGCACCTGTTGCACTTAAAGCAGGTATCCCAAATAGTGGTTGATATCACACCAGATGAACTAGATATGTTATACCTTGCATCTAAAATTATGCTCTAGTCAGTTCAGTTATGTAAGTCAATCTATTTGACTCAACAAATTCATACAGATTAGAAAAAGTTAAGCACGTGTGTTTACATTGCGTTGTTGGACGTCAAAATTGCGAAGTTTTGCCATACTTTTGACTCATATGACTTCCATTGCCTACTAAAGTGACAAGGTTATATCAACATAATACTCACCGGTGAAAAGGTGTAACTTCAAAGGGCCTGTACCGCTCTTGCCAAATTTCGTCAGAAGTACCTTGTCTTTAAGTCGTCTACATCACATTTATCCTCAAAGACTCGCACGTTAAAAAAAATTCACTAAATATATGAATTTTATGAGAATTGTCAAAAATAATTTGTAGTTTGTACTTTTCTTCTGACTGCAAACTGAGATTATGGAGACAGACAAATCTGTCGCTTACTCCTTCTATCTAGTCAGAATTGATTGACTTCAATTTTTGCCTAATTTGAAGTAACTGACGCCACGTTTTTGCAACGCTTGCCAAGACGTTCCCATTATAAATCACTCGTCTCTCGTGCCGTGTTGGATATTCTTCACACACTTTGTCCATTCTCCGGTAACTCAGACTAACGCGGATTAATTGCATTTTAAACTGTTTGGCATGACGTTTTGTAAATCTCAAATAAAACTCTGCTGGCGCTCACGGGCATGCGGTTGCACACGCCATTTATTTGCTGGGAGTTTTTCGGTTTTTCACATGAGTGTGATTAAAGAGGGAAATGTCTGCGTGAGGTATGCCGGTAAAAGTGGGATGCTATACAGAGTCTATTAAATACTCGAAATCTTGGCATCCATGTAAAAAGGGTTCCTACGAAGTTTTTAAGAGATCAAAAAAATTATTAATTGATGACCTCAGCGGCCATTTGGAGGGCAACTTCGTAATTTCAAATGGCAATCACCACTTTTCTCAGATGATTCGTAATTAGCATGAGATTCTACATAAGAATCAGTTTCCATACGTGAGGTAAAGGTGGTCTTAAGAAAGCAAATTAGTAGGGAAAATGTGACAAATATCGCACCCACTTTGGAATAGCCTCATAAAATCGTAAATTACTAAGGAATAAATGTAAATCTTGTTCAGTTAGTTTGGTAACTGTATGGTCTAAGCGCCTTATCGTCAGTCGTTGCTTCAATTATATATACATATACATTGCTACTGTTTCAGGCCGTTCAAACAGATGATAAAAATCAAAAGCATGAACAATTTGATGCAAGGTACGTAACCTCAAAATGGAGCACCTTTCTGAAGGACTGGAAAAACTATGAAAATCAAGGGGGCCATGAAGGCGTCCTACAATTGTATGAACGACTGACGATACGGCCCTAAGTGGACAGTGAATATATTTCAATGGATTTGACCAAATGTCTATGTAGTGACAGAAGATTTCCAATTATGCATTTCTGGTATTCAAAGAAATGTGCCCTAGCTTAAAATATCAGGTAAGCGTTTTTTTATGGGATTATGTAAGAGAAACCAAGTATGTGAGAAAAATTATTCGAATATGGGTCTTAGTAAATATATAAGATAAAACCAGACTCTTAAAAAAATAGATTGCACCGAATCGGCAAACAAAATCAAGGTAAAACTACAAGCAAGTCACAAACAAATTTTAGATAATCATCTGTCCCTTTTCCTCCGTCGCACAAGGTTATGTCACCTAACTAGGTTTCATTGCAGGAAGGGCACTCACACTTAGCTTCACTGTATTCGTCATCGGTAGAAACTGCTATACTTTTGCCTATATCGTCTGAATCTAAAGAGCTCTCTCACGGCTTTTTCTCAATTGCTTTTCCTCCCTTTTGACTTCATTGCATGGCCTCCACTTCCCTATTCAAGTGGAACTTGATATTACTCATTTATAAAGCATCTCCTAGTTACATGTTTGAGTCACTACCCTATATCCCCAACATTGGGTGTTCGACATTAGGTATACATTCCAAATACAATATGGCTACCTGTGCAACAAATAGCACGCCCTATGAAAACCTAAAAAACATACCCACTAACTGCATGATCTCAACTACATGATGCATTGAAAAAGACGCTTAGTAATACTTATTTTTCCTTCATTAAACTGGGACAAACTGTATCTGTTTAAACATATTTGTGTGATATGATGTGACAGATGGCCGCAACTAGAATACTCTCGTCGAACTACACGTATCTGATGCATGGAACTTATTCAGTTAAAAGAAAAGGGAAAAAGACCACCTGGAAGCCCTGTCGAAACACTGGGTAGTTGTCAATAGTTTCCAGAGTATTCGATTCAGGGACCGTCTACTATTCAGACGTTACGGCTTGCCATACTAGCTTGACAACCAGTGAGCATCTAGCTGCGCGTGTGAAGATGGATTCCTCTTTGATGTGAGATCTCGTGCTAATTTAAAATCTGTGGTCAATGGTAGTTGCTGTTTGAAATTACGTGGTTGACTTCCAAATAACCTATAAACTCATTATCTAGATCAAGCTAGGGGTCACCAGTGAATCACTTTAGGATCTCCTGGAGCCTTTGTAGGATCATTTTTTCGGGCGTTCCAAGCATAGAGCTGGCTACTGCGCGAAAGTTAAACATTTTTGGATCGATGACCAATTTGATAGTTTGACTGATTTGGTAGGCTGAAATAGTCCTTGGACTATCAGACGTAACTTATTTTCGTGAAGACAGACCGTCGGTCATTGAGTAGTTTGAATGCCTGCGTACCTGATGGATATACGCGTGACTTACCAATACCAGATGAGGACGGTAGGTAAAAATTAAAAGGATTGACATTGACCGCTTTGAAAATTTCGAAGACCTTGATATAGATTGACAGAAGTTGCGTAGTAAAACCGGGTATGCAGAGAGCGAAATTCAGTAACTGAGCTAAGTCATACTTCATCTAGGGCTAGCTAGATGCAACTGAACGTAACCAACGTATATCGACGTAATGCCGGTAGTGTAAATTTGAGGTAATTACTACTCACATACGACGACTATAATATGCATAAAACAAGCATGTTATATCAGTCCGCCAGCAATTATAATCAAATCAGTGTATTTCACCTCTTCGGTATGGCTTCCTTCGCACATACAGCTACTACCAATAAAACTAACATTTACTTAACACGATCTGCCTACGCTACTGACCTACTAGTTACGTCAGTCGAACTGAAAAAGTACCTAATTACTCTTATGTAACGATGGATACTTCTCTTAAGTCTATCTTTCTGTAGCATGTGGAGCAACAGTCCTTTGCACCCATTGACAATTTGTGGCACTTAGATTTTTCGTTCGAACAACGAATCAGACTAAATGGTACAGTAGAGTTAAGCATACTATTGGAAAGAATTTATCTAACGCGAGATAAAACAAATGTATCAGTCTGTAATGATGTTGCGCGGAAGAGGTGAATCAAAGAACTGTCATGCATCTCAAAAAATGACGTTGTGTTTGGCACAAGAGGAACTTAACTACGAACATGTAGAACAAAAATCAAAGCTTGTTATTCGAATCAGTCAACACAATCATAGACCCCACTTATATGGCAACGTTGCCATTAGAAGCATTTTCCCTATCCTACCGACACTTGACAATGTTGCTATGACTAACCTCGCCACTCGCCAACCACTGCAGACACCCATCGGCCAGGCCACGAACAAAAATATATCCAAAGTCGCTTGTGCTGAGAATATTTCTCTATCATCCATCAAGTCTTGAGCGGAAATATACGGGGAAATCAATGATGGGTGAAATATGTGTAATAGATGAATAGAATTGCTGGCGTCGAAAGCGTATAACCTCAAAAAGTGAGATATACCCTTTTAAACATCCTACAACCCCCAACCCCTAGTTTTCAAATCCTACAAGTTTTTTGGCTGAAGATGACCAGGAGCTTCAAAAACGCGAAACCGATTTTTGAGCGATTTTAATTTTTCTTCTTTGTTTCTTTTGGGGTACCCTGACTTTCCGATCTGGTCAGACCAGACTCATTTTTTACACACTCCGTTGGTCCTCACTTCAAGCTGATGTCTGATTTTGTGCATACCAGATTAGACATGAGATGAGTCCAGAACATGATACGCAGTAGTTCTTGAATATTTTCGCATAGATAACCCAAAAACTATTAGGTTAAACCGAGGAAAGATGACCATATTTTTTTTAATCGTCTGTAATATTTTTAATAATTGGGTTTTAACAAAAAATATAATATTTTATAGTAGGGCATGGTAATTATTATTGGTTGCTCTGTGCAAATTTATTATAAATATGGTTTTTCATGTTGTTGATAAATATCGGTATTCTTTATATGTGGGCCATCTCTGCTATAGTGTTTAGTAGAGATGGCCACATGATAGAAGGTAAGATGGCCATCTGAAATTTAAAGAAAATAATAAGTTTTATAAAAATACTCGCGAAATACCTATGGGGCTTTATTGTTACATATAACAGAAAAAAAAAACTAAAAACTCAATAGCCAATCCTTTTGTCAAAAATGTAACTCACATTAAAAAACTAACTGACTCAGTGAATTAACTATAAACCACTACAAAGAAAGAACAAAACAAGATATTTTTTTGTAAAAAACACGTTAATAGTTCAAGAACAAAAGTTTATTATTTTGTGCAACGAAGTTCGATTGCTAATCTGAAGTTTTCGGCAAACAAAAACCACAGACAAATTGTTTGGCAGAATTTGATCCAGTACAAAGTTTGTGGATCCACAAACTACATACGATGCATCTAAACCATAATTCGTTGTCTTTTCCGAACTCTCCACAAACAAAACAGATATCATCGTCCTCGTCTCTTGATGGATCACTATCAGAGGATGAAACTTGCGAATCCGAAGAGGTTTTTGATCTCTTTTAGTCCTCTTTCTTATTTTTGTCCTACTCTTGGCCCTTTTGTTGCCAAAATTTGCTCTTTTGCCAGAACTAGTTGAAGGCATATTTTTCAAATTGTTATTTTTTTTCGAGGTTTGTTTGTTTTTCTGGGTATTTTTCTTTGATTCTAAGAAGTTCACAGATGTTAGAATATTTGCGATGGATTTTGATCTTTTTTTTGTAGACTCGATTCGAAGCTTTGGCACAGGTGAAAGTTCTTGCAATAATTTGCTTGGTGTTTCGTTTTCTATTTCGTTAGGCTCTTCAGACGGCAAAAGTGGCACTCCACCTTCAACTTGCGGCATTGGTGATGGTGTAGTATCCCTGTTTTGTCTTTCTTCATGATGTGATCTTGACATTTCATTAGCACCTAGGTGATCGGCAATGGAAAATGCATAATCCGGGATTATGTCCAGATTAAAAGGGTAGATACCGGTAGCTCTAAAGCCTGAAGGGGCATTTTCCGGCTTGGCAGATTTACCCCAACAATCCGATGGGAGCTCTCCAAATTGGTATCTAGTAATGCGTCTTCCTGCATGTTGTTTAAGCCACAGCTGACAGCTTTTATAAAATGCGCTTTTAAGCGATTTATTGAATACCGACTGGTGGAGTGGTTGCAGATAATGCGTACAATGGCTAGGAAAGCATAAAAGAATGATGTTGTGTTCTTTGGCATACTGTAGCATTTCTACCGATGAAGAGTGAGAGGTATGGCCATCAAGTAGGTGAAGCGTTGTGGCTTCCGGTTTCCTGGGTACAAAGTGTGTTTTTAGCCACCGTAGGAATAAGTCGGAGTTCATGTACGCTGACTTCTCCGACAAAAACAGCTGAGAACCAGGAGGCATATTGTCATAAAGTTCATGTTTTAAATTTTTTCCTTTCATAATAGCGACAGGAGGAAGAAAGGTGACCTCGGCGTTACAGCAGGCAACATTTGTTACAGTCTCGCCCTTTTCTGCTGAAGCAACTGACGAAACTACTTTTACTACTACTATTTAATTGTAATCCACTCTCGTCCATATTAAAAATATTATTCGGGTTTTTCAAGAGATTGTCTTCTTCCAGAACACTCTGCAGTACTTTAAAGTAATCAATTACTACCTTTCTAGACATTGCTGCGCACCTCGCTAACGACAAACTTTCTGCTTTTCTAACTGATACTTGTGGATGTCTGGTGAGAAATAAATGCAGCCAAACGTAACCAGCTTTCTGAAGTTCATAATTAAATTTATGTTTCAAGCCCAGCTGAACAGCAAATTTATAAGCTATGGTTCGCAAATCATCTCTAGTAAGTGGAAATCCACTTTTTTGCGTTTCTTTAATATGTCGAACCAGTCTGTTTTGGCCCTCGCTAATGATTTTCTTTTGTAAGTATTCGGCATCTAAAATAAATACAAATGATCTACGATGGCCATATTACATAGGAAATAAGTGAGCCATCTCTCCTTTTCTTCGAGGAAAGATGGCCATAGCATGATTTAGATGTTATATACGTTAATTCGAGTAAAATGCTTAGGCAACACAAAACACACCACACATGGTAAAATAAACACTAGACGGATTGTTGAAGACTAATAAAATTTTATGAAATTTGGCTAGTGGAAAATTGTATTAAAAAACCATTGAACCCATGTAAACAGTAATTTTAAAATAACTTACCTTCAAACTTAGTTAAATGACTCAGAGTTTTTAGTATAGCACGATCACACAACGGTACATTACGCCATATTGAAAAAAACGCCCTCTAATAACCATTTAGGAAAATAGCGAGTTGGGCCATCTCTCCTCTATGGCCATATAACCTCGATTTACCCTATAACTTTACCTGAAGGCAACTTAATGCTGTACTCACGCATCCAAAATTTATCCGAGATGAAACAACATGCCGTAGCGCATTATATACTGAGTGACAAAAAAGGTAAACACGTAGTTTATTAGATTTCAAGAATTCAACACATTATTGAACCAGCTTCAGCAGTCAGTTGACTTGTCAATCATTTTACTAGTGAGGGACACTGAATATATGTTCCAAAAATTATTGAAGTAGGATAAACATACGTATGTGTTTACCTTTTTTGTCACTCAGTATATGTATTATGTATGTATCTCAGCTGATCTTCTTCTCTCCGCAATAATTAGGATTCTACGTTGAAAACGTTAGTGTCTTATTGATGACGCTGTAGCCAACTATATGAGCACATAGGTACAACGGCATACACGAGACGTTAACTTTTTCAAAGTAGATTTATAATTAGTGCCGAGAAGTGAGATATACTCATATATGACGCTACTGTATCTCATTCTATCTCGGATAACTTTTCCGGTGCCCCATATAGTACTAGGTTGGCTATCTTCAGGTAGCATACGTTAATCAACGGCTACAAGCGGATCAAGCTTGGTAATTTAAAAAGCTTATTAACTTCTAGGTATAAAATAGGTTGCTTGATAATCTCTGTGGGACATCAAAGCCACTCACATTTGGAATGAACCCATCCAACTTGAGGAAGAAACAAGATTATCTTCAGACCGGAGCTACGCAGGGGTTTCAGAAAAGCTTTCTTAAAGTGCTGTAAGACTTTATGAGGAGTGCAAGTCAACCACCAACAATTTTCGTGTTTCCTCTAGTTGGTTTAAGTGCAAGTTTGTATAACTTATATGGATGAATTTGTAATTAAATCAATCAGAATGAGCTCTATATTTACTATTTTTATTTGCTATACCATTTTTGTATGGTAAGTTGTATTAAGTTACAATTGAACCGATTGGAAGAAAGTCGAAAGTTGTTGGTGGCGCCATAGTTTTGTTTTTTACGGTTTTTGGACGTTGCATCACAATGCAGAAGTAAATAAATTGACTAATGACAGCATGTCCGTAACTCAACTTTTCCAAGTCAGAAAGCACACTCCGCAGGCCGGCCCGTAACGCAGCTCCTACTCGCTCTTGCAGACACACACACACACACTTGAATTTGGTGGTAGAGGACCGTTGTTTTGACTAACTTCCTGAAAATACTTCTAGCGCACGCTGTAGGCGTTGAAGTTGTATCTTCAGGCACCTGCTTTGTTTTATATCGAAGATAAACATGGTTAAATAAAAGTGGTCATACCAACAGTGCAAGCATACATGTGAAAGACCCGTACATTGATGGGAAAATTTTCACACTAATGTCCTTGCATAGAGTCTGATTGCATAAGTATGTGTGAGGGAGGTGAATGTATCAAAGTACATCCTGTAGTTTTGAGTGCACAGTAAAAAAACTAAAACTGGTCAAGCTTACAAAAATAAACTAGGTATACAAATTTTACTGGATCATAGACTCAGTATATCTCTATGACCAGTTGGTTGGGAATGAGTCTCTCTCAAATGCCGATACTTATTTACATGCATGTGTAGCAGCGTTGCAGTTTTTTTCTTTATCCTTGTGCGATCTCGGACCGGCATTTGTATAGATTGAAGATAAGACGGCCGTGGATAACTCGCAAGACTGACTGAAGATTTATTCAGTGAGTGCCTCATCTGCTGCGTACGTTTGTCATGAACTGAGCAGTAGTTGAGCTGCTAAATGTCAAAGCATCACTTGATATTACGAGTTGTAATATAGGTTTTTGTTTTGGAAGAAATTCCCAATAGTTGAGGAGGTATCTTAGCATGCGCTCAAAAAAAATATTCAAATGTATTTTTCCTTTATGCAGCCTTAAAATGAATTCCTTTCAACGAATCTACTTGTTGTCAAGCCCAAGAGTGTGTCCAAAATTGTTTGAACATTGTCCAAAGAACAATCTTTTGCTCCAGACATGAATATTCTATATTTTTCGGGCCATTCTGAAAAAAAAAATGTTCATATGAACCTCTTGATGGTTTTCTAGATATAAGCGACTGCTGCCAAATTTCAACAGAAACGGCACAAAGATCTTTGAGATATTAATAAGAAAATATTTATTTTCTCAATTTTGGCAGACTGTAAGAAACCATACTTTTTAAATAGCACCCTGTGTATGGAATTGTAGATGATTATATAAAAATTGTTTTCCGTTATTATTATATTTACTGCTATAGTTTTTTGTTATCTCACGAAATCAAGATTGATGACACATTCTACCGTATCACAAACAGCTGTGATTTTGTTTTTACAGCAAATCTACCGTAGCCTCACCCAAAATCATTCCGTTTCATGCTATGAAGGAAATATAATATAATGAATGGATATTTTTCTAATGACTCATACCTATTATTACTTTCGCGCTGGATTGAACGAAAAAATTTAATAGTCGGTTTTCAATGTCTCATCTATCTTAACTTTTCTTCACTTTGGTCAAGCCTTCAGTGGTATATCAGTTCCAACACTTATTGACCCCTGCTCTCTCAAGATAAAATGCAAATGTCCTAAAAACCTGAATATCCGGTAGACAGATACAACACGCAAACCACAAAGAATCCCAATAAACGCACATCAAATACGCAGCCGTTGCTGCCGTTGAAGTTGATTTGACTTCTTTTTGCGGTATCTGCAAAGTGCATATCGGCCAATTACGAAATATTGCGGTTGTTGGTGAAAAGCGAGTCTCGTTTGGGTCACGACAACCTGCAGCGTATCAAAAACCATCCTAGTCCGGGACGATTAGGCCTCATATAATAAAATTTTCATCCATCGCCATGAACGAATTATGACAAGCCGATTATGCTCGAGCCGCCAGACAGTGGTCTACCTATGGGAGGCCTTGGAAAAAATTGAAAAAACGATGTGATGATAATGAAAAATCGAGGCACTGGCAGATAAAATCTAGCACTGGTTTTTGTTATTTTTCTTGCAAACTATAGTCATAAGCCATAATGTGGCGGGAGGTTGGACACGGTTATTCAAATTCTTCAAATTTGTCATCTGGGTGGCCTCAAAATATCCTCCCAATGCCTTTCTAGCGACAAACTGATCACTGATTTGGACACAACGTGCACTAAAATCTATATGACATGCTCCTGGAGTCGAATGCAAGATTCATTAAGAACTTGTCCTCGAAGTGACCTCGAAATGACCTACAGACGACCTTTTGGTAGTTAACTGATCTCTGATCCGGAACCAGGAAGCCTGAATGACAAGCGGCTGGGAACAACCTTGAAGTTACCCTCAAATGCCCTCATAGAGACAATAATAATAATAATAATAATAATAATAGCCTTTATTTAACCTGGCGGGTGTCAGCTAAAAGCTGTTTTTCATACCAACCAGGGCCAAACAAAATTATAATACAAAATCTGGGAGACATAAGCATTGTTGAGTAACAATAATGAAAAATCTATTATGCCAAAAAGAGGCATTTTTTTAATTTAAAGAAAAAATCATATATATATTCACAGTTAACAGTTACACCATTACATAAGTTAAAAACTAAATAATATAAGGTATTATGACATATTTTCAAAAACAATTTTTTTTACTTTTGACCTAAAAAGTGGAACAGATAAAACTTTAAAGCTGACAGGGAGCATATTATAGCGATTGGGTGCAACAAAAGAGAAACTCTTAGTAAATAGGGTGGTTCTATGATGGGGCGTGTTAAGGGTGTAACCAACGAAACGGAGGTTGGCTGCATGATGCTGACTTCTCAAGGTTAACTTATTATTTAAGTATATAGGGTATTTGGTCAATAAAATGCTATGAACCAAACATAAATTGTGAACCAACCACCTCTGCCTCATCGTCAACCAATTCACTTCTTGAATAAATGGAGACACTCGCTCCCTTCTTCGGATTCCAACAGAATATCTAATACAGCTGTTCTGCACTTTCTGAAGTCTGTAAGCTTCGGCTTCAGTCAAACAAGGACCAAACACGGAACTTCCATATTCTAACTTACTTAAAATGAGTGAATCGCAAAGCTTAATTTTAGTATCTTGAGACAACACGTGCTTAAAGCTGTAGATGCTTTTTAGTTTAGCAAAAGAGCTCTGTACAACCTTAGAAATATGATCATGAAAAGTTAAGTGCTCATCAAAGATTATTCCTAAGTTTAATACCGATATTTTGTGTGTGAGCTCTTCACTATTGAGGCATAGCTTTATAGCATCTCCACTGAACTCGTTCTTCTTAGAGCGGAAGGTAATTATGGCCGATTTGCTACAGTTTATGTGTAACCCGTGGTATCTAAACCAATCACAAACGCCGCTTAAATCTACTGCTAGTTTTTCGTTAGCATCAACACATGAGGAGGGATCATAGGATAGATAAAGCTGGGTATCATCAGCATAAGAATGTAAAGCGCAATGTTTGACCGACCGATCCAAGTCCGACACGTATAAAGTAAATAAGATTGGTCCTAAAATGGAACCTTGCGGCACCCCCTTTACAATGACCCGATTGTCAGAATAGTCACTGCCTATTTTAACTTGTTGAAGTCGATCTGATAGGTAATTGTCAAACCATGTAATCGAATTCTCAGAAAAACCAAGAAAGTGCAGCTTAGCCAATAACATTTTGTGGTTTAAACAGTCAAATGCCTTTCTTAAATCCAGCAGAACAGTTGTAGTTACGCAGGAATTATCTATAGCTCTCAAGTAGTCATCACAAATGTCAACTAATGCAGTCACAGTACTATGATTTTTTCTAAATCCCGACTGTGACTGTGACAAACTAACGTCATATTTGGAATCAGCCACCCAAAAATCCTGTTGCATTGAGAATCACATAAATGCCGTCTAACGAATTTTTGTCAGATTCTCGGTTATCTAGACCATTATGCGCCATCTCAACAGTTGTTGAAAATTTGTATCTTTTGCCCATTTGGGCGTTTCCATGTGACAATTTTATCTATGGATATCAATATATGAATTGTAGTCATCGACGTTGCAAAAGGCCATGCAAAGCTGAGCTTTTACCTGGACCGTAGAGAGGATGTTTCGATTTACTTCATTTCACTTGTTTTTTGCTAGCTTCTTCAAGTTATAAATACATTAATCTTTCGATGAAAAATTCCCAGTAAATTCATAACACGGACAATTACAATATATGTAATTATGTAAGAGAATGTTAAAGCCCAAATAATACAAACAATCCTTAAATCGTAGTACCGAGTTACCAACTGTGATACATTTCACCACTCACTAGAAGTGTACCAATCATTAATAATAATTCCTCAACTGGGGAGTTCAATCTGGGAAGCCTGAGATAGCCTTGAGGGCGACCCTCGAACATCTTCAACTACAAAAGCTGATGCCGCCACAGTAGGATTGAACGTCTCCTATCTTGTACTGCCTTTTGTAAAAGCCAAACCGACGCCCTGTTGTACAAATACACTTTGACAAGATGGCAGATGACGCCATCCGACCTCAAACGGATCAGGAACACAATTGAAAGCCTTTTGTCTGTAGAACGAGATCCTGACTAGGTCCGCCTTAGGCACAATAGAAAGGTCTCTCTTAGGCATATTCCTGACAGCATATATTTATGATTACCTAGTTTTGCTTCCTGCTATGTATTGGATTTGGGGAGTGAGCACATGTACAAAACTGAGAGTGCAAAAAACTAGATGCCACACTACCTTCTTTCACAAAAGTCGTTTAAATGGACCAATCAGATTCGATCTGCCGTTCTTGATTCAAATCCAGAAAATTCCATAGCCCAGTTGAACTATAGAATTTTTAAATAATAACGCTGTTGCAGGTACGCTAACAAAATATTGAAAACGGCTTGACATTGGACACAAACAAACATCTTTGATGGATACTGCAACTCCTTAACCGTAACTTTAATCTCCGGTTGCTCTGCCTTTCTTCCACAGCAAAAGTGGACTAATATCAAGATCAAACTCAAATCTGTTTTTGCTGTAGTACTACAATTTATTGGAAACTTAGCTATGATGAAGACCTGTCTTTCTGACATCTGCAACTACAGATCAGTTAGTTGAATAGGTTGTGTTTTTTCACACCAAAGTTATACGTCAAAAAGGGACATCACATGCATTTCTATTTAACCCTGCGTCAGTCGCGCAATCTAAAATTACATGAGCGGTCGCATCGCGGCACTGAGGGCCGCATCTCGACAATGACTTATTTTGTATTATTATAGAGAAAACATTGACTAATAAGTTTGTAATTAAACAGAATAGACATTTAAAAAATCAGTTTATTTATAATATTGCGCTCTGATTTATTTAAACATTCAAAACTAAAACATTATTCTATAGCGAACATAAAAGATAAACACTGAATTTTTATCGGGGTATACGTATACAAACAAGTATCACATTGAACTGTTTTTTTGCAATGGCTTTTACATACAAACTGATCACATGAGTCACATCTAACAGTAGTTTTATTATTTTTACGCGCACTACAAACATGACAACGTCCACTACCACTTTGCTTTATTGCAGGTACCTCATCAACAGTAGTTTGGTATCGCGAAAGAAATTCTCTAATGTCTTTTGGAAGTGTAATTATTTTCGCTCGTTCCGCCATATGATGTTCCATTAGAGACACGCCTAATTCGTTTAAGAATTTTCGTCTTCTAGGAGACTCTTCTGGAGGTTTAGTATTAGTGAATCCAATTTCAGCGTCTATCCCAGTAATATCAAGAATGCGGAAAAATATTGCAAGGGGCCATCGTCTAGTGGTTATCTGGGTTGTATAAGAGGCACATTTTTGATCGACAGTATCGACACCACTCTTCGTCCTGTTATAATCCAAAATGATGGTTGGCTTATTTGTTGCCTCGTCAACCTCTCCTTTGTCATCAACAGAAGAAAGAATTATCACAGCTTTATTCTTTTTGGGTACGTAAGATACCAAATTAATTTCGTCCTGAAATCCGAATAATGAAGAACCAACTATTCGTGCTTCATTCGGAAGGAATTCCGGGGGTATTTCCTTTTTATTTTTCTTTATTGTACCTATTAACGTAAGGCCATTTTGCAAAAGATAATCTGCTAGGGGATAGCTCGTATAATAATTATCTGTTGTCAGGTTTCTCTTGGAATTTTTTAAAGGGTCTACCAACCTTCGAACTATATCGAATGGCTTATTACTTGTCTGAGAGGGACCATCTCGTTGTTGCCCACAATAAATCTCAAGATTCCAAGTATAATAGGTGCGACTATCACACAAAGCATATATTTTTATACCGTATTTTGCGGCATATATTGCATGAACCCACATCGCCCCCGAAACGGATGAAGTATTTCATCAATGGTAATGAATTCCCAGGGATGTAATTATTCATACAATTCTTTACAAAATCGGAGTAAATATCCCGTATTGCAGCTAATTTATCTATATTTTGGCGTTCTTTCCTAGTGTTGATATTGCCAAATCGTAAGGCACGTAAAAGGAATAAAAATCTTCTGTAACTAAAAGCAGCCCGAAGTCTAATCATTCCAGTTCCATCTGTACTCCACAGTTCTCGCACATCTACACGATTTCCTTTCTTTACTGCAATTATATATAACGCGCCGAATAGTGCCTGGATCTCCGTGGACGAAGTTATTTTGCAATCTCTATCTCTTGCAAAATTTTGTTTTTTATTTTCTATATATAAATTTGTGCATACTACGATATTGTCAATCATCTCATTGGAAATAAATATATAAAATGACTCTAAATGATTTGACAAAGTTTTCGCAGCTCCTTTTGAACCTGGTAATATCTTGATTATATTTTTAGACCTAGTTTTACTGGTAAAACTCACAGGAGTGCTTTTCCAGACATTCTCTTCGTCCTTTCCAATGTAAAAGAACTCATCTCCTTGATTCTCCAATTCGTGTGTATAGTCCGAGTCCTCAACCTCAGATTGCTGTCGTAAACACTATACTGAATAACTTCTCATTCGCTTTCATCTGCAAAGTCTACTATATCCTCATCGAAATCAGAGAAATTGTCGACGATCTCTTGCAGCTCTCGTTCAGTGAGTGGTCTCTTTTTATCCCTAAAATATCAAAGATTATATATTATTCCACAATCCCAGGTTGATAAAACACACCAATTCGGAAAAAAATAACAATAATAATGAGCTATAATGGTTTTGTAATATATTTTAGCGATATCTATATCAAACTAATAACCAAACATAATACTTACATGATCGGTCGCGTGGCGGCACGGAGTACCGCAAACTGCGCCTTCTCACTAAAAGTCTCGATTTACACTAAAAGGAAGCATTTCCATCTCCGTTCCCGCAGGTACACGTTGCAAAATATAGCCAACGAAGCATACCTCGTGAGACAGTGGCGTGCTTCGAAAAATTATTCAGTAACTAGAATACTTTTTCCCTGTACTATTTTTATATTTGCTGCGATAAGCGTAGTATATCTCACCTAGTACTTTCTTTGAATTGTCTTCATCAGTTTAAGAACGTTTTAAAGTATTCCCATCCCTAAAATCCATTCGGACAATTTGACTAAACGCATCACGCTTTTCAGAATGTAATCAAGCTCTTGGAGGAACTTTTCATATCCGTAGTTTTCATACGAGGCAGAATTTCTTGATCCGATTTTTATAATGCCAGATATAATCAAGATTGGGTCACGATGCGGCAGATCAAAAAACAATGCGAATATGTTCAAGTCTTTTCTCGTTACTTTCCAGCTCGCATCGTTTATAATTTGTATGACAGTAATTGAGGGCTCCGAAAGAGATAAAGGAAAAATCAGCGACGGGTTTCTGCTTTTTGTTTTGGATAAGGAACCACACGCAACCATCGGGAGAAATCGCAAATGGTACTTTGTGGTTCTCTGGCTGTAGGTACTTATATCAAGCTGACATTAAAATAATTGTAATCAGAAAAATCGTCGGGCTGATATTCGTCGAACGTGAAGGTAATATGTGAGATGAATGGGCATATAGGTATTTTGAAAAATATCAAATCATTTATAAAGAGCAGCTCCATATAAATATTTTGTAACTAACACTGTCTACCCATACGTAACTTTATTGTTTCTAAGAATGTGCCATTTTGGACTGAGTACCAGAACATTCCCAAATCTAAAATGGATCATAGTCACCCTATTTTTAGGGTGCGAAAAATCTGTCGTAAGAACCATGCCAAATCATTTTCAAGAAAATCGCAATAGAATTTCGTCCAATACCAGCAAGGATCTCTGTTTGTAACTCCTATAGATATAAAAAAGTAGAATGCAATACAGTAACTTGAAAGATATAAAATGAGTACCAGTTGTTTAAATTGCGTGGTTCTTATATTATCCTTTTAAGATTTGTTCACTCGCTTACGTGCTTAGGTTTTCACGAGTTAAGGTTGATCACACTTTGAAATATAGTATATCTCAGAATTATATCCGGGAATACTGACCAAATGCAATATTCGCATCAACAAACGTCGAGTAGGTAAAGACGATGCTGCTACATGACAAAGACAGAAGATGCTACATACTTCGACAGATTATTTCTCCACTCATTTGCAGATGCTCCTGTTTACCAGGTATGTAAGCAGTAAAAATAATGGAATAAATAAATAGCATCAACAATAATAGCTTCTGTTATCTAATAGACTTTGTATTTACTTGTAGTAAACAATAATTATTAGTAATATTAAAAAATGGATAAAACCTTTAGCAGCGTTCTCTGATAGATGCCACTATAATTTCTGTTTGGCGTTTCTGAATAGCCACGTTATTTCATACTATTTTACTCCAAGAAGGCTATAGGCCACTTAAATTAAAGGAAGAGCGTCAAATTAGTCGATGTTAAAAACAGTGGATGTTTTAATCATACAGCGAGCAGATGTGGCCCCATATATGTATAGTTTAGATCAGGGCTGCCCAACATACGGCCCGCGGGCCGCCTGCGACCCGCGAACTCCTTTCTTGCGACCCGTTTCACGGGTCATGTATACATCACATGTATAAATTACTCTCAAATACCGAATATGCACAAAGCTTACATTAACTCTGTAATAATGTTGTATTGAAAGATTTTATAATGCGGCCCTCCAAACTGCATTTTTTTTTGAAGTGGCCCTTGGGCCACATTAAGTTGGACAGCCCTGGTTTAGATGATAGTGTGAAGGATAGACCCTATAATCTATCTAGTAGCAGTTTTGATAGTCACCAGAGAGAGAGAGAGATAATGATTTCAAAACATCTATTTATAAGAACATTTTGTCATACTTATTGAGAATGACTATCGTGCACCACAGATAAGTTTAATACGTGTCAATAATATGTAATTCTATGACGATTGACCTCCACAAAATCTTTCTTCCTCAAAATGTAAGCCCATTGCGTCATTTCAATTTAAGTTAAGCATGAAACGTGTTTTGAGGATTTACAAAAAGCTTATAACTTCAGATTTCTTGAAATAAAGTAAATGTGGTTAAGGTACCATATTGTCCCAAGCCCTTCAATTATGTGCTTAAAGAGGTGAACAAGATCTACATGAACGCATATATTCACTGTTCACCTATGGATCTTTACATTTTCATTCTTCACCTAGGGTGAGAAATGTAACTTCATCTAAGAGGAAATAATAACGTATTTTCAGGTTAGCAATGTTGGAGTGTTAGAAGTGTGATTCTCTCTGTCTTACAACACAACTCATTGATAAGGACAACTTGAAAAAAATATATACTAAGTGACATATAAATCCGAACACCCAGTTTAAATGGATTTATTTTAATAAAAGTTGGTGAATGTATTTATCTTACTGTAAATAACAAGTGAAAAAATTTTCAGCCTTATCAGTTGGACATTCCGGTTTTTATACTGATTCTTTTTAATTCACTAACGCTCTAAAAATGAATATTTCAGCCGCAGTAAAGAATCAACGTTGGCGGATTTTGGTTCTTGACATCCTTTACGATCGGTTACGATGCCTAGAGTACGGAGACCTGTACGATTTCGTCAACTTAGTGAGTTTGATAGGGGCCGTATAGTGGGACTTCGGGAAGCTGGACTTTCTTTTCGGGCAATTGCAGTTAGAGTGCAAAGAAGTGTAGACACTGTGGTTAGGTGTTGTCAGGCATGGCTTCGAGAAGGCCGTACGCAAAGAGCAAGGGGCACCGGACGCCGCCGTAGAACAGCAGACCGTGAAGATCGCCGCCTAAGATTAATGGCCTTAAGGGACCGTTTCTCCACTACCAGGTCCATTGCAAATGAATGGTTTGCAGAACATGGAAGACCTATTGGCATGCGAAGTGTTTACCGACGAATGAGAAGTTTTGGCTTGTTTTCATACCGGCTACACTGGGTCCTCCCTGTAACTCGAGAACACCGACGTAATCGCCTTGAGTGGTGCAGACAACGGTCACTCTGGGATCAGGAATAGAACAGTATTGTCTTTAGTGACGAGTCTCGATTTTGTTTAGGCATGCACGATGGTCGTGCCAGGGTTAGAAGGCGACGTGGTGAAAGGAGGAATCCACAGTTTTTTGTTGAAAGACATGTTCATCACACTGTTGGAGTTATGGTTTGGGGTGCTATAGCTTATGGTTCCAGGTCCCTTTAATCTTCATAAGAGGTAACATGAACGCGCAGCGTTATATCCACGAAGTTCTAGAACCCCATCTTTTACCCTATCTTGACACCCTGGCAGATCCAACTTTCCAACAAGATATTGCCCGACCACATGTTGCAAGAGTCACAATAGACTTCTTTCAACATAATGATGTCACATTGTTACCATGACCACCAAGATCTCCCCAATTGAGCACGTGTGGGATATGATGGGTAGGAGATTGCTCAATTTGCAACGTCCTCCTCAGACTCTAGAAGCACTTCGAGAGGAGTTGGTTGCCTGGAATGAGATACCACAGGAGGACATTGACCACCTGATGCATGCCTAGGCGGGTTGGAGAATGCGAAGCACATCAGGGTGCATCCACACATTATTAAAGTTCAAAGGGCTTTAAAGCAAGGCAATCATTTTGAAATTTTTATCATTTACTTATTATGCTTCATTAAGTACTTATACAAAATTTTATTAAAATAAAACCATTTAAACTGGGTGTTCGGATTTATATCTCACTTAGTATATATCCGAGAAATAAAGACATTACAGCTACTTGAAATAATACAAAGTTCCTAGTTCAGCAAAGACAAAGCGTACAGCAGGATTATGTACAATTCTTTTTCAACGCGAAGATAAGCAAAAAACTGGACCCATCTGTTCCTTAGTTGGATTACGAGACTGCGTTATTCCCTTTTTTGTGCGATCGCGCCTTGCAAAAACAATGTCCCTGTCGAAAGAGGAGCATCGTAAATACGACAGAAAAAAATCCTGGTCAGATTGATATGTTACTTCGTCAGGTACGAGGCATAGCAGCATCTGAAAAAACCGTTTTTAGTGGTATTTATGGCGTTTTTTCGGCACGAGATTGGCTTTTTACGCGCTGGCAGTAACTCAGACGGATCGAAAACACGAGGGAAACGTGTCGAAAGCTGATTTACGTTGTCAAACAGAAATGCTTTGAAACCGAATCTGAGGGCACACAAACCTACAGATTTGCTCACGTATGCTCTGAAGTTCCCCGAATGAATAGGTATGCATAACAACAATGAAACCTAGACACGTATGGTTCGACGCCGCCAAATCTGAATGCGCAAACGCATTTTAATCTGAAAACCTTCACATATTGGTATCTGGTGTGAAACTGAGGTTATTTGAAGGTCAAATTGAATGACGTTACCGGGCAAAGCAGACACAGGATTTGGATTCAGCAATAGAACGAACTAAAATGTATATTTAATCATTTAGGCACCCTTTCTGAGTTTGACTGAATCAGTTGACTACGCCATTGAGCTCAGCGATCCCAAAAACTCTAAGATACATCTTTGAGGGTTAGTTATAGCTCTAAGATCAATTGCTAACCTGTGTTATTATATGACACTTCACGGGAAGGGGACAACGAAAAATAGTTAGGTTTTAAGATACTCATATTGGGCCTATTTGTATATCTAGATGTGAATGGTAGCATACGATTTTTATGTGATGTTTATTGCATTTTTGTGTACATATGTACATGTCGCTCTGGGTATGACATAAGTCGTTTGTTTAGGTCAGCATCAATAGGCTACCATATAAGCAATTTTGTTATAAAAAAGTACAGAAACTTCCCTTTGTGAACGCTGTGTTTAATATCCTAATGTAATAGCCCTCGACTCGAAAAATACTCCGAAAAAATCTCAATCCCAGTTGCGGCTATTTCCAGAACCACTTTACTATGGAAATATAATAATAATAATAATAATAATAATAATAATAATAATAATAATAATAATAATATCTGGCCGGTAAGGGCACTGCTACCAGCAGAGCGATATCTATGCGCTGAATGTGCATTCCGACTCTTAGAGTATAAAAAAAGGGATATAACGCACCCATAATAATTATGGAGAACAACTTTAATTTAGCCTCGGAAGAACGTAACAGCGTTAACGAGACCACAAGCCCCAGCGGTAGTGGTGTCGCGCTAGGCAGGGGTGAGGTTGCAACCACGGTTGTAGCCTCGGAGGTAACCCAGGTCGTCATCATGCGAAATCCTCCAAATACATGGGATCGACATTATAGGTCCACCGATGAAGATGAACATCCTGTGGAATTAACAGACGAGGTCACAGAGATTGGCCGTTTGCACACCGGCACCCGGAATGCTGCGGCCATTAATCGTAGCGGTCAACGTATGAAATGGACTAGAGAACTAAACATTTCTGTAATGAAAGCATTTTATCTCGTTAATGACTAAAGACCTACCACAAACAGGTCGGAGGCGTAAGCTCCATACACAGTTTTCAAAGATTCACCCGGAACTTGGATTAACTGAGCAAAATATCGTTGATAGAAAAAGGACTATTGTGAAAAACGGTTATCTAACCCAGACCGAAACGGATGAATTGAAACGTGAAGTTGGTAGAGCGATATCCCAAAATGCCATAAACGATGAAGTAGCCCCTACACGTTTGTCAGTTCTGGATCAACCGCATATCGAACCTGAATGCGTAACTAGCCAAAAGCAAAAAGAGCTGAATGATCTTTTTCTAAGTACCTTAAGCTTCTACCGATTTAGTGACCCCACAAAAAGGCCTAGGCTCCCAAAGCTTCTACTAAATGAAAAATCCAATCAAATAATACATCAGATGGACGAAGTTCTTTTACGCCAC